ACTGAGGTATATCCCCAGCCCAAGGGGAATTGTTTTTAAAGGAAAAATTATTCATAACCCTAATTACCATCATCTCACCGTTTTCCCTTCTGATTTTCACCTACAGTATATATACAATTTTGTACTGTTTCCACAGCAAAATAGCAGGAACATGTTTATCTCTACCTAATCTTTAAAATAAGCATCTTACATGTTTTCACAATATTCCAATGAATTAACATTAGCATAACGTACTAAACTCCGTTCTTAATAAACATCTTTGAAACCATGTAACTATTTTCTTCTGTTGGGAGGTCACATGTATGGACTATATAGAGTCTACTGAACTTATATAAAAGGGATGTATTGAGGAATCTGTGTTGCTTAAATATGTGATTCAGAAGTAACACAATCACATCCTCAGAAAAAGAAAGGAGTGAAACCATCTTTCCGAAAAGAGTCTAATGTTTTAAGAAATACTTGTACTATCTTATGGTTTCCTGGTCAAAATATAAAACTTAAGTTGCATTTAAAATGCCATTTTTCAAATTTTCCTAATACAGATCAGGAGAACTGGAAGCTTTAAATCTATACAGTTGATCGAGATGATGACTATTCTTTTACTCCAAATTCATGGGAATGTCAGATAAAGTACAATAAAGGACATGTTGCTTGACTCAGACTCAGGAAGGAGAAATGTCCTGGTACTAATAATAAAGAGCACTCAAAGTGATAGCACCAACAAGAGCAGAAGCCAAAATAGCTGAAAAGCTGGAAGTTGATGCACATGTAAGTCATCTACACCTGTGAAATACTGCACCACTACAGAAACTGTATCCATAATCTTAGGTGAGCACAAACAAAGCGAGAGGCATGGCAGAAAATGGGAGTGGACCCCAAATTCACTTTGTCCACATAATTCAGGGACACTATGCCAATATTGTATAGAAGAAAGCTGGTCTGGAAACAATGAAAGTCTAACCTAGTAAAGATAAACTCAAAACTTCACAGGGATATTTCTCATATAGAGTACATGGAACTGTCTTAGAAAGAAAAGCCTGCTAAAGATGACTTCAGCATGATAACAAATAACACAAAGAAACAAGCCACCAAAAAGAGACACTCAGCCCATGCGAAAGAAAAAAAAAAGGTTAAACAAGCTGAGGTAGGTGCATCTATAATCCCATCACTCGGGTAGGCTGAGGTAAGAGGTTTGAAAGTTTAACCATAATCTGCACAACATAACAATTTAGTGAGACCCAGTCTCAAAAGTTTAAAAAGGGCTGGGATACAGCTCAATGAGAACCCCCGGTCTCAATCCTCAGTACCAAACACATTCACAAAAATTAAATTTGTATGACAGAAGAGACAATGTAACAACGTAAAAAAGACAATTAGGGGCTGGGGATGGCACAGCGCCTACCTGGCAAGCACAAGGTCATGAGTTTGATTCCCGATACCGGAAAAAACAAAACAAAACAAAACAAAACAAGGTGAGAAAGACAGCCAAATGAGAACCTTATTTTGAAAAGAAAAAAGCAAGAATAAGGAAGACCCAGATATTATTACAAAAGAACACTTGAGTTATTGGGAAAAAACTAATAGAAATTACATAAATAAAAATAGAAAACACACACTGAAATTAAAAACTCAAAAAAACTCAACAGATATGTTGAACAATCAAGTGTTCAAAGAGGGATAAATTACAAGACAAAAATGAGGAAGCACCTACGAAGAAATACAGAAAAACAAAGGGTTAATAACACAAAAAGAGGTTACCATCCATTGATGACAGATGGGTAACAAAGACAGCTGCTACCTAGCTCCTCTCTAATGGAAGTTATAGATGGAAATTCCAGACAGGAGAAGAAACTATCAGTATTTAAAGAAATAATGCTAAGAATTTTCCAAATTGAAGAAAGACATACTCTAAAACAGAAGAAAACAAAACCACACCTCCACTCAGCTTCGTGAACCTGAAGAACTTTACCCATTAAACTACCCAGTAATTATTTTAGAAGGATACACAAAAGTAGCCTCTGCATGATTACCAAAAAATCAACCACAAATGGCTGCTGACACCTCTGGACACTGATAAAAAATGAAAGGATATTTTGAATGGACTAAGGGGGAGAACTGGCATCTAAGATTGTATGTACACATAAATATCACTGAAAAAAAAGGGCAAAGAAACCTTTTCAAAGATGACAAAGAGTTTAAGACTCAGATTTCCACAGAAAAAAGGACTGAAGGGTCTATACTTCAAGAAGGAGGAAAATGAAACCTAGAAAAAATGAATCATGAAGAACCAGTGGCTAGAAAACATGATAAATCTAAATTACTACATACCACAAAATAACACCAATGATGACTCAAAAGGAAGATCTGGTAGTGTCTAACTGGAAAGACGGACACAAGTCAAAGCAACAGTAGACAGACAAGAACCAAAAGAGAAAAGACATGGTAAATAACAACAGAAAAGAAAAATAAGATGATTAAAACAACTTCCAATTAATAAACAATGCAAATGCATTAAACTCACTTATTAGAAGGCAGAAATCATCAGGCTTGAAATTCTAAAAGATATAACAGACACCACACAATAAAGAAAAGAATTAAAAGGACTTAAATAATAGAGCCCTCAAACAAAATGGCCACATATGGAAAAAACTTCAAAGTATTACTATGATATGATTTTATTATAACTCTAACAGAAAGCTAGAACAAAAACTGGTGAGGATATCGACAGACCAATAGATTTTTAGAAGAGATTAGCCAACAAACAGTAAATGTACACCTTGTCCAAGAACAGAAAAGACACAAAAATTGAACACATACTTGACCAGAAATAAGTCTCAAAACATCTTGTAAAATATTGGTGTCGAGCTGGGTGTCGTGGCACACACCTGTAATCTCAGCACTCAAGATGCTGAGTCAGGAGGACTGCCAGGAGTTCGAGGCCAACCTGGGCTATATAAGCAAGTTCAAGGCCAGCCTGTACTACATAGCAAGACTGTGTCTCAAAAAAAAAATCAGTGTGATATGCATTCTCTCACGATAGTGTCATCAACACTAAATTTAAATAAAACAAAAACAAAGCAGCAAACTCTATGTCTTAGAAACTAAAAATTACATTCCTAAATAATCACAATGAAAAGCATAAAACATTTAGACCCACAAAATAAGTATATCTCAAAACAGGTCCCAGAACAGTAAAGCTGAAGTTGTAGAGAAAACTACAGACTTAAATGTACTTTTTTAAAGAATAAGAAATAATGAGCTCAATAAATTAATAAATTTACCCACCACACTAAAAGGGAAAATTTTGATTTCTATCAAAATGAAAGAAATTAATTTTTATTTTTATGTACTTATTTATTTTTTGGTCCTTTTGAGGCAGGGTCCCGCTAGGCAGTTCAGGTTTGCCTTGAGCTCACTTTGTAGCCCAGGCTGGTCTCGAACTTCCAACGATCCTCCTGCCTCAGCCTCCTGAGTGCTGGGATTACAGGCGTGCATCATTATTCCCAGCTAAGAAATGAATTTTAAAAATAGCAAATTAGTGAGATAATCATGCTTACTCCTCTGAAAAGACCAGTAAAACAGATAAATCTCCTGACAAGATTGATAGAAAAAGGAGATAAAAATAAACAATACGGAAAGGCTCCAAAAGTAGGGGTGTATATAGCTACAAATATAATTAAGAGTTAAACCAAGATAAATAGCAAATTTGTTCTGGTACAGGTACGTGATATACATGAAATGAACACTCTTCTAGAATATTATCAGTAACAAAAATTTATTCCAGGACCAAAAGCACATCTAAACAGATGAATAATCATTGATGAAACAGAAATCATGAGCAAAAAGATTTCACTTCACAAAAAAAATGAAACTCAGCTAGTTTCACAATTTTGATCAAAGCACAGATAATCCTTGGTTATAAAAAGCTTCCAAAAAAAAGAAAAAGAAAGAAAGAAAACTATTCAGCACAATTCATATGACCTTGATAATGTGGATCTCAAAACCAGAAAGAAAAGAACTAGAAAAAAGCATAGGACCAACCTTACTTTTGTTAAGCAATGCAAAACATGCCATTATTGCAATCAAATCCAGCAGTCAGTAAAGGAAAATAAGAAACTGCCTTTGTAGGATATGTTTAAATGTTAAAAGAGGGAAAAATATTAGTTTTGTACAAATTAATTTGGAAAAAAATTAATTTGTGAGAAAAATGTTCTGACAGATTTATCTCTCAGTCCTATGAGGAACTGATGAAAAAAAAAAAACTCTTCTAAACCTGATTAAAAGGAATCTATGAAAACCCTAGAGCAAGTCTCAAATATACTGACAAATTATTCAATGTAGGCTCCTCAACATTACACCAGGTGTGGCCGAACATGCCTGTAATCCTAGCACTCTGGGAAGCTGAGGAAGGTAGATCAAAAGACGAAGCCCACCCTGGGCAACTTAAGGACTTCTCAAAACTTGTCCTAAAAGTAAAAGGGCTGGGGATGTAGGTCAGTATAAAGGCACTCAGTACCTTTTCAACGAAGAAAAAAAAGGATAGACAAGAAAACTTATTATCACTTTCCACTCCATAATGCAGTCTCCTAAGCAGAGAAAAAGGGACACTGCATGAGAAATAATAAAGGAACAGAACTATGACAATTTGCAAATGTGTGTCCTCATAAAAAGTCCAAAAGAAACGCTACAGAATAAATAAGAGAGTTCAGAGGGCTGAAGATCTCTACTTAAAATGTACCACAAGATGCAAAAAATTAATGTTTCTACACACATAACCTATTGAAAAATATGCCCTACAGCAACCAAAGATATGAGATACCTTGAAATATATGTAACATCTGTATGCAATAAAATGATAAAATATAAAGGAATCAAAGAACCTCCACATAAATGTAGATGTGTTTTCATTGAAAGAAAGACTCAATAGCATAACATATAAAATGAATACATAAATCCAAAGTAATTGGGGTTTATGAGGAGCTTGCCCTACCAGTTATCACGTGTCTTAGTGTTTGCCTCTCTGGTATTACAGAAGGAGAATGATGCTTGGAGAATCTACCGATTTGAGTGCCTTAGTCTCTCAAGCCGTCACCTTCAACTAGTACAGGAAGAAGCTGAACTGCGGCAGGCTGGACGGAGTGCTCCGGAAACGCTAGGTGCTGCTGACGAAATACTTCAGTATGCCTAACGCTAAGACAAGGGGCCAACGGCTGTGCACTCCCATTCTTGCCTGCGAGGATGGCCATTTCACTCTTCTGCCTGGCACAGGGCTCTGCAGAAGGTTAGGCACAGCCAGAAAGTCGCTCTGTTCCTGCGCCTCAGGTCTGTACACCTCAGAGTACAGATCACAGAGAAAGTAACAACTGGCCACTTACACCACTAAAAAGTCTTGCTAGAATGGACTAGAGATCATACGGTGATCCTATGTCTAACCCTCTGAGGAACGGCAGGATTGTGTCCCAATTTTTAAATTAGCTACTTTATGTTAAATTATAAAGAAATAAAGTGGTTGAATGTACTGTTTTTGTAAGGGTTTACATGATAGCCAATACCCTCGCGGGACTTAGAGTCCAGTGAAGGAGGCAGAAAACAAAAATTAAACTAACGAGTGAAGTTATTTGAACAAATTATGCTAAGTGCAAAAACAACGAGAGGAAAGGGCGGGAGAGGGGAGAGGAGTGACGAAAGGACAGGCAGGGGCCACAGGGAAGCACTCCGGTTCCAAGCGACGCGATCAAGGCAAGAGAAGGGCAAGCCCGAAAGCTCGCGTGCTCAGGACGGCTGTGACGACGCGAGGGCGGCGGGCGGCGCGTCCTGCTCGGCGCACGCAGGCGGGTGAGAACGCAGCCTGCTCGCCCGGAGAGACGCGCCTGCGCCGCGGAAAGCGCGCC